GTTACGTAATGAGGTACTGTATTATTAGACGAGTTACTGTTTTATTAAATGAGGTACTGTGTTACTGGACGAGTTACTATTTTATTGAATGAGGTACTGCGTTATTAGACGAATGACTATGTTATTAAATGAGGTAGTGTGTTAGTAGACGAATGACTATGTTATTAAATGAGGTAGTGTGTTAGTGGACGAGTTACTATGTTACTGAATGGGATACCGTGTTAATGGACGAGTTATTGCGCTATTGAATGGATAATATGTTATTGAACAAGTTTTTTCAATAAACTTTTATTTTTAAGCTACTTAGCTTCATCAAATTATAACCTATAAATAATTTTCGCTAGATAGTTATCTCTCATTACCATTGAGTGTTTTAGATAGTTATCTCTCATTACCATTGAGTGTTTTAGATAGTTATCTCTCATTACCATTGAGTATTTTAGATAGTTATCTCTCATTACCATTGAGTGTTTTAGATATTTATCTCTCATTACCATTGAGTGTTTTAGATATTTATCTCTCATTACCATTAAGTGTTTTAGATAGTTATCTCTCATTACATTTGAGTGTTTTAGATAGTTATCTCTCATTACCATTGAGTATTTTAGATAGTTATCTCTCATTACCATTGAGTGTTTTATATATTTATCTCTCATTACCATTGAGTGTTTTAGATATTTATCTCTCATTACCATTAAGTGTTTTAGATAGTTATTTCTCATTACCATTGAGTGTTTTAGATAGTTATCTCTCATTACCATTGAGTGTTTTAGATAGTTATCTCTCATTACCATTGAGTGTTTTAGATAGTTATCTCTCATTACCATTGAGTATTTTAGATAGTTATCTCTCATTACCATTGAGTGTTTTAGATAGTTATCTCTCATTACCATTGAGTGTTTTATATATTTATCTCTCATTACCATTAAGTGTTTTAGATAGTTATTTCTCAATACCATTGAGTATTTAAATTAGCAGGTTTCCGATATACAAAGAATATAACTTTACGTAAAAGGCTCATTTATATATTCCATATTCAATAGTAGGTTACAATAACAATTTTGTTATAAAGCATCATATTTAAAAGTTGAAAGGTTTGTGATATTGGAGGATACATCATTAACCTAGTAATTATTTAAGCACTCTTGAATGATTTTCACAAAGAACAGTTTTACTATGGACAGCTGGGCACTAATCGGGTCGTTATGAAGCGCGTCATGGAGAGTCGATTAAAATATGAACAACAAAAGACCAGCTTCTTTGCAAGCATTAAGAATATTTTCAGGGCTATTAACACCGGAGTCTTTATTAGTTTTACAACTTAGTTTCCATAACGTTTTCCAGTTTATAGCTGATATAGCAAGTTCTGAGATAAAAAGGCAGTCATTGTATTCAGAACGACTAAAGACTCTTTAGCGAGAGTGTAATTTGTTTTATTCAGTATCTACAAGTTTAAATGATACGGAACGTTGGTACCCTGCATATATAATATCATGGGGAAACAAAGAAAACGAGGCAAGATAAGCTAGTATATAAGCATGAGAAAGGAGATGACAGCTCAACAATCTCCAGCCAAATGAGTTCAATAACTTATAAATATCATAGAATTATTTTTTAAACTAATTTAGATACTACTGCAATTACTACACTGATCGTGTTGATACAGTAGTCTTAGTTGAATGGCAAACGTTTTTACGCAGTTTCATGACTATAGAAACAGATCTTCCCTTAGTAAGACCCCAACCCCACCATAAAAAAAACGAAAAAAAAACACCTTTCATAAATATATGAACCTGTTTTTGGATTACTGTAATTTTTTGTATCTATAGTGCTAGATATAAAGACCAATTTACCGAACTCGCCTTACAGTTATGTTTTCTTCATGCAAATATTAGAGTAAGCAATCCTCAATTTCTCTTTGAGTAATAGAGTAAAAGACATTGATTATTTGTACAATATTGTTATATAGTCACTAATCATCTTGCATCTATTACTGCTGTTTTAGTAGTAGGTTTGATAACTTTAGAGAACTACAACTGCCTGTTGAATGATGTGAAAAAAGCCACAGTGTAGAATTCAAAACGTTAGCCACTCTTCATTCAACTGGCAGTTGCAGTTTATAAAGTTTTCAAATCTTCTATCTTTACTCTGCTGTTTTATTAGCCATCATATTGACAAAGGAATCTGAAACCAAGTATAAACGTTTTTTAGTTATATCGTAAAAACCGTACCTGTTTTTATAATAAAATATCATATATAACTAACACTATTTTTATCACTGACACAAAAAGTTGTATTTTTATCATAATCGGCTAATATAGATGGTGGCAAAAAGCTTTTTGACCACTTTGCAGTACAATAGCTGGCAAATAGTACAACCTATAAAAGTTAATAATGTGGAATATCATTATCAGCTCATGGGAGACAAAACGAGCCATTAAAAAAACATTAATAAATGTTGCCACCAGATTCACAATTGTAAACATAATTTGAATAATTAGTCAAATAAAAATAAATACTGAAGAAGGCTAAAATCACTTAGATGTTGGCTACAAGAACTATCAGTATGGCTCCACAAAGGAAAGTAGATCTCAACATGCAGATTATTGGTTATTCAATCATCTCAAGGCTCGTGCTTACTGGCAGATTTCAACCCTGTAGATTACTGGTTTTGGAGTTACCTGAAGACTCGTTTTTAATAATAGATTACTGGACGTGGAGTTACCTCAAGCTCGTATTTATTGGCAGATCTCAACCCGGCAAATTATTGGTTATGTAATCACCTCAAGGCTCGTGCTTACTGCCAGATTTCAACTCTGTAGATTACTGGTTTTGGAGTTGTCTGAAGACTCGTTTTAACAGAGATTGCTGGATGTGAATTCATCTCAAGCTTGCATTTATTGGCAGATCTCAGTCCGAAAAATTATTGGTTATGGAGTCACCGCAAGGCTTGTGTTTACCGACAGACCACAACTTACTGGATATAGTCACCTCAAAGCCCGTGTTTATCAACAGCTCTAAACTCGACAGATTGCTGGATACAGAGCTGCCTCAAGGTTCGTGTTTACTGGACTGCTACAAGCGGGTTGAAGGATACAATCTGACAAAAGTCACTGGCTTTCCTCTGGACATGAAGTGTTTGATTGTTTGTTTGTTTTTTGAATTTCGCGCAAAGCTACACGAGAGCTATCTGCGCTAGCCGTCCCTAATTTAGCAGTGTAAGACTAGAGGGAAGGCAGCTAGTCATCACCACCCACCGCCAACTCTTGGGCTACTCTTTGCCAACGAATAGTGGGATTGAATGTCACATTATAACGCCTCCACGGCTGAAATGGCGAGCATGTTTAGTGAGACTGAGATTCGAACCCGCGACCCGCAGATTGCGAGTTGAGCGCCCTAACCACCTGGCCATGGACATGAATTGATCGGATGTTTTCTGTATTATTCCTCGAATGGACACTAAGATGACAGTGAAGGAGAACGCATTAATTTCTTTTTAATAGCTCATCTTGTCTCACATGTACTTACAATGAAGTTTCCAAACTTACATCTTCATACGTTATACTGTTCCTTAGATATAACACCACAAATTGCTCAAAGGACTTTATGAATATCCTCTACTTAGAGTGATACACCTATTTATATTTTTGCGCTTTTCACGGAAGATCAAAGACAATAAGTTTTTACAACATTAAATACATCTTTTGAATTGGTCATCAAACAATTGCAGAACAACTTTACACCTATATACGATGTGATTTATATCGTCATTTAAGATGTATAAATAATTTACAGGCATAGTTTACTTATTGTAGTTCGGAATGGCCAGGTGGTTAGGGCGTTCCACTCGCAATCTGAGGGTTGCGGGTTTAAATCCCCGTCCCACCAAACATGCTCGCCCCTTCAGCCTTGGGTGATGATGACTAGCTGCCTTCTCTCTAGTCTTACACTGCTAAATTAGGGACGGCTAGCGCAGATAGCCCTCGTGTAGCTTGGCACGAAATTAAAAACAAACCAAACCAAATAAACCCTCGTGTAGCTTTGGGCGAAATTAAAAAAACCCAACAAAAAACAATACTTATTGTATATATAACGTTGTTTATAAGTTCCCTTAATATGGGAAAACAATTTTTTTGGCAATAGTTTTAACTTCTGTAAGTGTTAGATCACTATATTGATCAATAAGACAAAGATTTAATGTATTAATACACAACTTCTAAAAATACTTTTAACTAGTGTAACAAATGGATCACCATGTTGATCAATAAGACAGATTTTCTTTTAATCTTCTAAAACACTACACCTGACAATAGACTTTTATTAATATTGATAAATGGTTTTAAGCTACTACAACTGGTAGACCACTAGGGTTAACCTACAATCGGCGATTTGATTTTAATGTACTAAAACACCACTTTTAACAATATTTTTATCTACTGTAACGGTCACATCACTATGTTGATCAACAAGACAACAATTTTCTTTAAATGTATTCAAGCAAAACTTCTAACAACATTTTTAACTACTGTAACGGTCAAATCACTATGTTGATCAACAAGACAACAATTTCTTTGAATCTACTAAAACACCACTTTCAGCAATCCTTTTAGGTACCATAACTGTTAGATCACTATACTGATTAACAAGACAACGATTCTCTTTTCCTGTACTAAATCAGAACTTTTAACAATACCTTTAGCTACCATAATTCTTTGATCGTTGTGTTGATCAAGTCGTCAAGAAAGGTAAACTGTATCATAAATTTTCTTGAGTCTTTTCCTAATTATTTACAGTATATTTTGGATCAGAAAATGCTTCTTTTCTCTCTCTCTCTTTGATACATCCACAAAGATGCCTATACGTTCAGATTACTGTTCTAAAACAATAAAATGATAAGATATTATCATCGATTATCGAAGCTTCACAGAGAAGGAGAACTCGTTGTCTTGTTATTAAGTTACTAGATTTTCTAGGAGAATACAGAATATTTTTCTACTTACATCCAGTTAGCCAGGGCAAGATTGATCCTAAACAGCACGATTAGGGCGAAGTGAGCGGTCCACTTTCCACGGCCCATTTCAGGCTCTGAACAGCTGAAAGCAGGACCACTTGTTCCTATGTGTTGTTCTGAAGTGGGCTGATACCAAAACTCGAGGGAGAAGAGCAGTCAGAATTCGTTTGTGGCAGACCGCTAAACGCACGGCTTGCTAGCTAGCTTTCATTCCGTCTTCAGCCCATAGCAGACACGATGTTGTTTGGAGCTGTTTGAGGAGCTAAGAATTAAGTCCACGGGCTTCAGAAAACTGATAACCGGAATCTGTGGTTGATTACCTTGTTCTAGTCACCGCTAGTTACTAAAAGCGATCCCTACTGTGTGACAACGAGACCAGCGCGTGCAGTAGCGACAGATGCTTAACTACTGAACCTTACGTCTGAAGTAGATAGTAGTCTTGGAACAAAGGTAGTGTAGCTCGCTAGTTACATGTGTCGAGATAACGAACTCAAGCTATCAACCAGCGTCTCTGATTGGTTAGTAAACTGACCCTTGCTGACAGGTGATGATCATTATAGTGTCAGAGTTTCTGGGATTGGCGGATACCTGAATGCTTAGAATACTCAAAGCACAAAATATTTTAAGGCGGACGCAGAAAACAATATTTTTAGGCAGACACAGAAAACCATGTTTTAAGGCAGACGCAAAAAACAAACATATTTTAAGGCAGATGCAGAAAACTATTACCTTAACAGAATTAGCTTATATATATTGTTATATACTCTACAGAACAGACGCAGATTATGTCAAGTCAGGTTTTATGATTATCCAAGATTAATGATCTTTAATGAAACGAGTTCAGCGGTTAATCAATTGTTGAGGATATTTTAGGGGGAAATCGTTTAGAGTATGGAATAATAGCTCAAGGTAACGAGTTTTAATTATTATTATTCAATTATGAGGCTACACTTTTATACTAACGTATCCAGAACAAAATTCAAAATCAGGAATTCATTTGACGTCTTAAAACCTCCAGTAATAAGGTATGAACTAAAATAAACTTACGATCTTGATCTTTGGCCTCTTGACTCGAGAGTTGAAGTAATTGATGACATTCAGTATTTATTTGCGTAAGTCAGTGCTTTAAACCCAGAACTTTGAACTGATGACTCCAAACGTATCCAAGTTACAAGCCGATCAATGGGATTTTCGAATAAATCTTTCTACACGTTTTATGTACAAGAAAAAACAAACACGAATAAACGACACTGGTTAATTTCATCATTAGTAATGTAGCTTCCAGTACGCTATTAGCTGTAACCACTGAAGAGGTAAGATCGTCCTGGTTACATATTTTACTTATGAAGAAACACGCATTGTGTAAGAATTTTACCACCAGGTGATGGATTTGAGTTTCCACAACAACGATGTAAGGATTCATAACTAGTATTTCTATTACGAAAAAACACAAATTACATGTCCTTTCAAAACACAGTGCCAGATCAAGACTTTATAAATTGACTGTCAGATTAAGCTGTTATCATGAGAGCATTATAACAATATCACGCCGTGAAGCGTCAACTAAACAAATAAACACGCTTGGAAACCTAAAAACACGTTATTCTGTAGTTACCTTAATCTAGAGCTGAATATTCACCATGTATTGTTAACACACAGTTGTAAGCTAAATATTCGCGATGTGTTGTTAACCCACGATGATAAAAGCTAAATATATACGATAAATTGTTAACGCACAGTTATGGAGCTAAATGTACACGATGTATTGTTAACTGAGTGAGAAAAACTTGAGTAACTACAACGTATTGTTAAAACATACAAAATAGATCTAGGTATTAACTGTGTGTTTTAACGCAGTGAAATATATCTGAATAATCTAAATATATTATTAATGAAATAAAACAGAGTAGAATACCCAATATGTATTGTTGCAAACAGAAACAGGGCTGAATATCCAAGATTTATTTTTAACGCAATAAAATAAGAATACCCAATATGTATTGTTGCAAACAGAAACAGGGCTGAATATCCAAGATTTATTTTTAACGCAATAAAATAAGAATACCCAATATGTATTGTTGCAAACAGAAACAGGGCTGAATATCCAAGATTTATTTTTAACGCAATAAAATAAGAATACCCAATATGTATTGTTGCAAACAGAAACAGGGCTGAATATCCAAGATTTATTTTTAACGCAATAAAATATAGCTTAATACCCATTGTTTTTTGTTATAGCGAAATAAAGATGAACAATTATGACCTGTTGTTAACACATTAAAATAAAATTGAATATCCATGATGCATTATTAACGCGGTGAGATAGAATTGAATACCCACAATGTATCTTGAAAGTAGTTAAGTGTTAGACGTATATTGTAAACGCAATGAAATAGAACTGAATATTCATGACGCAATATTAATTAACTCACTGAAATGAAACTGAATATCTACTATGCATTGGCAATATTTTGTTATTAAAGAATGAACAAAAAGTAAATGTGTCTAATCGTAACCTAGTGCTGAGTACAAGGATGTTGTCATATATCATGGCCAGTTTTAGACACAGGTTCATAAATATCAGTTGTAGAAGTTGGGCATAAAGAAATATTTATATAATACGATCAGATGATGAACTCAAGGATATTATTGAATGTCATACACGATCAGATGATGAACACAGGGATATTATTGAATATCAAATACTATCAGATGATGAACACAGGGATATTATTGAATGTCAAATACGATCAGATGATGAACACAAGGATATTATTGAATATCAAACACGATCAGATGATGAACACAAGGATATTATTGGATATCACTGTCAGATGTTGAGCACAAGAAAATAACTATATAACATGATCAGGTTTTGGTCACATGAAAGTTGTACGTCATTATAAGATATTAGGCACAAGGATCTATATAATTAAAAGATTGTCGTGTGTGCATGCGTGGGAAGCTTTTAAAATGTCATTAAACTATGCAAAAATGAACTTAGGAATAGGAAAGTACGGACGACGTCACAATATGCGTAAGGAAAGGGTGGGTGTAGATGGTATTATGCATTGAAAAGAGAAAGGTAATTAAGGAACAGATCTGTTATATCTCAAAGCCCCGTAAGGTTTTGTGTGTGAAGTTCTTCATTTGTTTATAGACACTTGAGTACCGGTACTGTCACCTTGTTGAGTTTTAATACTTGTTCCCGATATCCAGGTTTTGATAGCGTCACTATATCTTGTGTCTCTTATTAGATAAATACGATTGGTTTTGGTTTCCTTTTTACGTTTAGTACAAACCCAAACCTTACTTCGTTACGTTAAACGTAAGGTTCGTTTTTCGTTTTACG